ATACATACATACAAACATACAAACAACATATTTGTAGCATGCATACCTTATAACTTATACCTACATGCATTTACAAACTTCTGTGGAGACAGACAGAGAGGCGGAAAAGTATGCGCATGTGGGATTCTGCATGCGCATAGTGGTTCATGCACTCGTACAGACATATATGCGCCAGAAGCAAACCAGTATGTGTGCATGTGCAAACAAAGTTGGCAGTACTTGAAACAAAGAGAGAGCAAGACAGAAACTGGGAGAGAAAGCTGCGTCGATAGATATATGCACACTCGCATCCCACAGACACATGTATGCACACTGCCACGTGTGTATCCTATATGGTCAGAAACTACCACGATCTATGCGCGATCTCCGCTACTTCTCAGGATTGCAAGGAGCTCAAGGGAAAAGCGGGTCGAGCTGACAGCCCAAGAGACGACCTCAACAGGGCCTGACAACGAAGCGAGCTCCACCAGTTCGTTACAAGTGACGGCACTATTGCGGTCAAGCTTCTGCAAAGATGCTCTTCTGGTCGTTGCCCTTCTGTTGAAACTGTTTGGCTTGGAATGGCTTTAGGTCGAACATCATGTCTAGTAAGGGTCTAGGATTTGCGGAATATCATCGAAAGCTATGATGAAGCTGGAGGAACCCAAGAAAAAAATGCCGAGATCTCCCGTGGTAGTACAAGCTTTGTGGAATCCATACTACGGTTCAGTGCAGTATGTAGCAAGAGTGGCGAAATCGCCCGGTGCAGGTCAATGCGAAAGGCAGAGCTTCTGGTGGTGATAGAGGCAGTGGTAACCGCAGCGACTGTGGTCGTGGCAGCTGTGTAGTGTAGTCGAAGTAGCAGCAGTGGTGACGATAGAAGTAGTACATAGTCGCTGTCTGATGAGCCACCGCCCTCCTGGAAGCTGAGGTGTAGCGAAGAAGCAGCTCCTTCTCGTGGTGGCAATCATGTAGAACGAGGTACACAGGACATACGGGCAGCATTACACAGAGCCCTTTGCCAAATCAGAAACTGTGTTGCAAAAAGGTTTTCAATGCATGCCTGTAGTGCAGAGGCAGCCGCAGTCACGACAACCCTCTTATCTTTTTGAAGACCTACGTCAGCAAGCACATGCAGCATGGGCGCATATTCGATTGCAACTCATGCGGCTTGTCACAAGCAGCCTTAGCAGCTGCGACTATTGCTCCTGCTGGCCAGAATGTCGACAGAGCAGTCAACGTTGCGTTACTTATAGAGGTTCATACGTTCATGCAGCAGATCAGGTATGACAAGTATTCGTCCCACACCGAAGCACTAGTCACTAGTATCTGCGAGCCCTTACCATCTACGCCACCTAGAACTCTGCATGAAATCCAAACAATATCAAAGCCCCGTATAGGCCCGCTTTCATTGTGCAAGCGCCTCGGAAGCTCACTAATCCGCTTTTCGCTGAAACGGCAAAATGAGACAAACTGCCTGGCCAACCTCCGGCCCGAGGCATCCTAAAAGAGGATTTAAAGCTTTTTTTAGCTTTAGGCTCAGTTTTTGGGCGCCTCAGCTATGACTGTGAGCTTCTTTGTGCTCGATGATGGTACTGTATGGTTATATGAAGGGCAGGACTACTGGAATTTTCCAGGCACCGATAGTTCCGATAGTTTAATTAGGGGTTTCGGGTTCCGAGCTTAAGGATGAGATCATGAACACGTCATACACGGTTTAGGGTTTAGGGTTGAGGGGCATAGTTGTGACATTGCTGCCGAGGTTGGGATTCGATTTTGACCCGGGAGGATAGCAAAGTTAAATACAGTACCTCTTCTAGCGAGCACGTTGCAAACGTTGTGGTGCACGTTCCAGTTAATGGCATCCCCTTCTATGTAGACAGCACATGCTCAACGGATCCATTTCAGGTTGGCCAAATTGACGCCACAGGTCCACGATTGCCAGAGAGCCTACTTTTTTGAAGGCTTTATGGGGATGCCTATGGTCGTCTAAGGTACTAAGGGTTGTGAGGAAAAATGCCTTCGTAAACCCTAGAGCCTTAGTCTGATGATGTCCTCTGCTCTCTAATTAAAGGGGGGCTTGGGTTCTCTGGATTCGGCGTCGGACCTGGTCTAATGATTGAATTCCAGCACTCGTCACGTAAGCGTCGGGTGCAACGCTACAAGCCGTCTTGATCTAGGCATATAGAAGTATCTTAGGGCTTTTGAAAGGAAGTACTGTACTGTTAGGACTTCGAGGTTTGGCTGACGGACTAAGGAGGGTCTAGGGTCGTCAAAAGGTCCTTGTTAGATGCTGTCGGGCTCTTGGGCTTCAGGGGTTCTGTGCGCAACTCGGCTTTAGGATTATGGTTAGAGGCTCTGCGGCTTCGGGCTGAGGGTTGAGGTTTGGGGTTGAGGCTCTGCGTTTGGGGGGGGCTGAGGGTTTAGGGTTCAGGGTTGAGCCAAAGGGAGCCAGAGCCGAAGCGGCCGAAGCCCTAGCCCTATTATTGGTTATTTTGGGCCATGTTATTGCTTATTTGGGGCTTATTCATGCTTATGTTAGGCCTGTTTCACCCCTAGGCCTACTTGACAAGAGCCAAGATCGATCAGTTTGCTGACACTTGGATCCGGTCGACCCGATCAGCCATACTGCAGCTGCAACAGAAGGAAAACCAGGAGGAGTGGGTTCGCCCCGAAGCCTCATGGCTTGAGTGCTTTAGGGCCTTTAGGGGTTTGGGTTTAGCATACAGGGCTTCTGGATGACAGGGGATTCGGGTGTATCGCAACCCTAAACTCGAGTGTGTAACAACACTCCCGATTTCCAAGTAGAACACGAAGTTGGACCAGAACTCTACAGGAAAGCACAACTCCCAAACAGGGTGCTGGCTTGTTTATGCCCTACATAACCAAGAAGAATTCGAAGAGCAACCCTGATGCTCCCAGCCTAAACCCCAAACCCCTGAACCCCTAAACCCTAAAACCCCCTAAACCCTGAACCCCAAACCCCTAAAAAAACCCTAAACCCCTAAACCCCCAACCTTGCCCAGGGACTTGCTCCAAGGGCTTCACATGCCGCGGCTTGACGCCGGGAAGACGCAGGCCGCCTTGCGCGCGAGGGCTTCGGGTTCTGTCGAAGAGTTGAGGTTTCGAGGGGTTTAGAGTTTAGGGTTTAGGGGTCGAGGGTTTAAGGTTTTAGGGTTTGGGGTTTAGGGTTTAGGGATCTACGAATTTGCCGTGTTGTTTTGGGGGCAGTTTTTAGGGGGTTTAGGGATTGGGATGCTTGTATTTTAGGGGGGGTTTAGCGGATGTTTTGGGCTGCTTTTAAGAGTTGAGTCTTCTTCCAGGGTTTAGGGATTTTGGAGTGTCTTGGGTAAGGGGTTTAGGGTTCAGGATAGTATTTTATCGTGTCGAGGTTTTGGCTTCTCTTTACAAGGGGTTTAGAATGGCTTAGGATCTAGGATCTGGGGTTGTGCTAAGGGTGCCGGGGATTCTTGAGAGTGCTACGATTGTGTCTACCTTTAGCCGGTCGAGGGTCATTGGGCATCCAGGGCAAAGGAGGTAGCAGCTGCGCTGCAGCTGCTCCCTGTCTCTGAAGATGATTAGGGTTTAGGGTTTAGGGATTAGAGTTATGAGCTGCTTCGGGAATGACAGCAACAAGGATGCCAGCAGCAAGCATGACAATCCCAAGTTAAGGGTCCCTAAACTCTTCCCAAGTTCAGGGTCCCTTAAGCTCTGTATAAGGTTTAGGGTCCTAGGCCCTAGTGCTATACATATAATACTACGACCTGTGTTACTACCATTTCGGTCCCTATGATTATGAGCAGTGTTCTCTTTCGATTACTGAAGTTATTATTATGATGATGATGCTGGTAACCTGCTGGCAATCATTGTGAGTACTGTGATGATTATCATCGTGGCTATTTGTCTATCGCTAGTACAACTGTTGTCCTTACGACTATTTCTACTGTCATCCAAGAATGATTCGAAACTGATGGCTAATATAGAGGCCTAGTCTACTTATAATAATAAGGAACCCTTGCAGAACAATACTGGCAGCTACTTAGGCCCGTATATTGTGCATTCTTGATGTTCCTGGGATGCAGACCCGACTCCTGGCAACCTGCACCCTGAATGAAAACGCTTTAGGGTTTCGGGGTTAGGGCTTGAACTACTTAAACTGCCAAAACCGAGTTCTTATTATCAACCCCTCCACCCTAGCAAAGCCTTCGAAACCCCTAACCCTAAACCCCCTAAACCCTGAATCCAATAACGGAACCCCCGATCATCGTGCCTGAAACTCGGCTGGAGACACGATCTCTCAAGAGCCGCAAGCAGCTGCGCCCAGGCAACTGTCCGTGAACAGGATTTCGGGTTTAGGGCGGGTTTCCGACTTCTTATGCTCGGGATGTCATGTACCGGCACGGGCTCCGTTCAGGTCTTAAGGGTTTTTTGTCGGGTGCATGCGCAGGGTTCTGTGTGCAGTGTAGTTTGCAGATTATGCCTTTTTTGTCAAAAATGACTGAACCGAAAAGATCAAAAACAGCCCGAATATGGAACGCTAGTGTTTGCGCCCTCCGTCGGCACGGCATGTTGTAGCAGACGCGCACTTATTGCTGAACTGTCAAACCATGAGGTTCGTACATTTCTGGCTCAGTGCCTGCTCTTCACTAAGGCGGGCAAAAGCCCGCCAAGGTGGCAAATCCACCCCGACCAGTGCATTTTCCGCAGCACATTCTGATCTGCACGAAACACCACGGCTAGATGAGCAGGTGTAAGCATGATCTTGTCATCCGGCATCATCGGGCTTTTGGGGGTGCAGGTGGTTCTTCAACGTATGAGCTTTCGAAGCTGCTATGGAAAAGGTATGGCCGGGAATGACGACCCGGCTTGACAACAATTCACGACATGGTGGTGGCACATAGGTGGGACTCGGTAGCAGTCGCAGTCGCGGTGGTGGCATTAGCGGTAGGTGGTAGTAGTCGTCGTCGTCGACGTCGTCGTCATCGGCTGTACCATTTTAAGCAAAAGATTACGCCTAGTGTCACGTAGTAGTGGTAGTAGTGGTGCTAGTAGTTGTCGTCGAAGTAGCAGTCGTCGTCGTAGTCGCAATCGTCCTCGTCGTTGTGGTCGTGGTGGCAGTAGTAGCAGTCAGAGTAATAGTAACTAGTAGTAGTAGTAGTCGTCGTAGTAGTAGTAGCAGCAGCAGTGGTAGTAGGGGGAGTAGTAGCGGGAGACTGGTTTGACACTTAGCCAGCAGTCGAATTCATGAAAGATTTGCCTGCACAAGCCCTAACCTGCGCCTGGCCTTTTTAATCGCGGTCTTGTAGTGGCTTGCAGAAAGGGGGCGGCGTTGAACTTTCCCGAACGACTTCGCACAAGACCTTCACGAGGAGCTTGGGCTGAAAATCAATGGGATGGGAATCAGGGGTGCGATCAGATGTTACGAACTTGAGTTAGGAGTTTCGAAACCATAGACTGTTTTGAAATTGAGGATCAGGGTTAAGGGAATAGCGCAGGATTGAGGCGTGCTTGCTTCAGATTAGGACTTTTGACGTGCAATGTTGGAGGAAGCATATGGCGTAAACCCTTAAACCCTACGCCTGGAACACTGAACCATCCTGGGAGCGAGGATTTAGGCTCAGGGTTTGCTGTGGTTTGGCATTCAGGCTTAAAGGAAGCCTTCATATACCCCAACCCGTAATATAGTAACGCTGAGGGGAACCCTGAAAGGAACCCGTAACGGGAACCCTGAAACTCAACGAGGACCCTTCGTGCACCTACTTCCGACCCCCCTGTAGTAACATGTTGTAACCCTTATAGAGTAACCAAAACCCCAAACCCGAAACCTGAAGGGAACTGGAATAATAAGAAATAACAATCCCTTGCAGTCCATGCAGAATTACAATATGAATACCCGAAAGTGTAATCTCCACCCAAAACCTTGCCCCAAAACCTGCCTAAACTCTAAAACCCTTAAACCCTACCCTACAGCCTAAACCCTTATTAACCCTTCTAAACCCTTAAAAACCCTGTTGAACCCTCTAAACCCTGATAAGCCCCTTAAAAATCCTTAAAGCCCTTAAAAACCCTGATAAACCCTTACAAACCCTTATGGCAAACCCGTAAGCCCCTGCTCTCTCCCGGCAAGGTAGCCTACAGAAGGCCGTGCAGGAAGCCACGCAAGTGGAAGGATCCTGCTGGGCAGTCGCGGGAGTTGCTATAAGCGTTAGGGTTTAGGGTTTAGGGTTTAAGGGTTTAGGCTTTAGGGTTTAGGGTTTAGGGTTTAGGGTCTAGGGTGTAGGGTTTAGGGTTTAGGGTTTAGGATTTAGGGTTAGGGTCTGGGGTTTAGGGTTTAGGTTTAGGGTTTTAGAGGGAGGAGGATTTAGTGGTTTTTGCGTGCAAGCCTTAAACGTCTAAACGGACGACCCATAATACGTGACTGTCCTAAAGCCCTTTGTTTTGAAACGATACTGGCGCTCACACACGAGGTGTCGCTCTAGAAGCGAGAGTTTGCCGGCGCAGCTGGTGCGCGAAAAGTGGACGCAAAAGGTCATGACCATGCATTGCGACAGGTGTAGCGACAACGTCAAGCCTCCGAAAGTTATATTATGTGTTTACAGTGCGACTTGCACTATGTTCACGAGAACTTTGCTTCATTGCTGTCGCTTCTTTTTGTAGTACGAGGACGACAGCTACTCTTACTGGTACTGGTCCCAACACGAGCAGTAGCAGCAATCGTCGACGTGGTGGCAGCGGTGGTGGTGGTAATAGCAATAGTGGCACCAACACCACTACTTTAGTCGCCATGACATGATAGCATGCTCTGTCCCTGAACCCTAAACCCTAAACCCCGAAAACCTAAACGGCCCTGAACATCCTCAACACCTAGGACAATTTCAACGTGTCTCCTGCGCCATGGCCTTGAGCTTCTGAAAGTCGGCCTGATCTTCCCGACGTCTAGGGCGTCTGGGGCTTCCAGGCTTTGGGCTTCAGGGTTTTAGGGGCTTTCGGGGTTGGTGGTGTAGGGCTTTGGGTTTAGGGTGCCGTTGGGGGTGTTAGGGTTTAGGGCTTTTGCGGCTTTCGAGGGTTGGGGATCCAGGTGTATTCCTTTGAGCTCTGTTTTTTAGTAGGGCTTGGGGTTTAGGCCCTTGGGGCTCATCGGGCAGGGCTGAGAGGTGCGACGTCCGGCGTCCTTCCATGTGAAAGTTTCGGAAACTCATGGTACCTCATGTCTGGACACTTCTCTTAAGCATCCTACTCTTTCTGGTTCTAAAGTTGGCCCGCCTGTTTTTCTGAAAGTCACATGTTGTTATGCGTGCCATGGGGTCACCAGCACTATAAGCCGAGTGGCCAGGAGCTCGGATAAGGCCTCGTACTGCATGAACTTCCCATGATGAACTGGGCAGACAGGAACGACCAAAGCTTCCACTTCCACCATGTTGTTGAAGCTCACGCTTCCCGCTTGACCAGCTGCATCCTGTGGACACGTTTCATGTCGCTTGGCCAATTCGGGGGCGAACAAGGTCAAAGGCTTGCAACAGGGCTTATTGTTGCGATGAGCCTTTTTATGTGCTGTATGCCAATGCAGTTTGTAGCGGAGCCGAGATAAAGTCGGGTAGATCGTTGGTCAATTCTTTTGTCTCCCGACAGGTATGCCGTATGACCTAGGGCGGCAATCGGTTGTTCCATCAGGGCTTGTGGTCCTTCCCCATGAGCATAAGCTATGGTAAGGCTCTAGTGTAGCTTGAAATGCTGATTTTGGGGCCTTAATAATTAGATGAGGGTTTTGGGGTGCATCATACTATAATTAGAGTAAGGAACCCCCAAAACAGTAGGTAATTATGAAGGCCCCTACATTACACTGCTGCACCACGAAACCATCAACCCTGAATCCTCACCCTGATCCTCTGCCTGAAAAACCGAACCCGAGTATGAAAGGGATCCTCAAACCCCATTCCCAAAACCCAGCACCTTGAGCCCGAAACCATAAGACATCATACTATAATATATAATCCACTACACTACATGTCGTAGTCCTTCTGCGCCGCAGGAGACAGCGAGCTCTCCTTTCAAACACATCGGAAATTTTACGGATTTTAGAGCTGCGGTCTTTCGTCCTAGACGGTTCCAATGAAATAATCAAAATAGTGTGCATATATACATAAAAGCTCTAACTCTCTGTCGCTCTCTCTCTCTCTCTCTCTCTCCCTATACAGACATTTATATATATATATACACGCACACATATGCGTATACCCATATGCACATACATATTCCGCTGAATGCCTGTATGTGTACATACATATTCCGATGTATGTATGTCTGTCTGTCTGCCTGCCTGTCTGTCTGTCTGTCTGTATGTCTGTCTGTCTTTGTGTCTGTATGTCTGCCTGTATGTATGTACGCACGTATGTACGTAGGTACGTACGTAGGTAGGTATGTATGTATGTACGTATGCATGTATGTATGTACGCGTGGATGGGTGGATGGATGCATGCATTATGTATGTATGTATGTATGTATGTATGTATGGACTTATGTGTTTGTGTGTGTGTACATATATGCGGGCCGCGCTGATGTTGATATACTTCTGCCAGTCGTCCGTCAGTGCTACGACGACTGTAAGTCTTGATAGTCGTTTTGTTGAAGCGATAGCAGCAGTAGCAGCTGCAGCAGCCAGCAATTGACTTTCGGCTTACAAGAGGACTGGTTTGGCCTGCTATGCCGGTCACTTCAAGTCCCACAGTACCCTCCCAAACCTTCCTGAACCCGGCAGTTGTTCCAAACTCAACTCAACAGCACTTAAACCCTCACAACCTTCGTAACCTAAACCCGAAACCCACGGTAGCCCTTTCTGAAATCCTAACAGCCGCAAACAGCCGCGCTTGGCGAAGCTCTCCTTCGACATTCCATCGGAGGTGATGCCCGCATGGCTGGAAAACATGCGACGGAAGCCTCAAGCTCAAAGGCAACTCTAAAGCCTAAATCCTAAACCCTAACCTCAGAGGCTCTGCGTTGAGGGCCACTGGGGGCTTATGGGGCTTTGAGAATTTCTTGGGTGTACTCTGCGGTTAGGGTGATGTGAAACAACGAAACAAGGGGGACTGAGGAAAAACAACGTCGCACAAGCTCACGCCCTTACTCATTTCCGAAAGGAATATGAGGTCAGAACATGCCAGAGGCTGCTGTCGTGCGCAGGTTGCAGCTTGCTTGGCCTGTGGTGCCGGTAGAAGTCCAGATGCGAACATGCAAAAGTCCCGAAAAGACCTGCCAACACTTGCGATGGCTTTCCGAGGCCTCCCAGGTTGAGGACGTGAAGCCGGGCTTCCGAAAGAAACGAAACAGACCCCAAAACCACAACACGGAAACACCAGAGGCGCTCTGCTCTACGCACAAGACCCAAACCCAAGACAGCGCTGAACACTAACAGCCCTAAACTCTAAACCCTCAATTTAAACCCTTTGTCGCTGCCGCTAACAGCGTGGAAGGCAACGCAAGGTCTTGGGCAGTGTCGTGCTTATTGGCTTTACTTCCCCACAAGCCCAACCTCGCTATCATGGCCCTCGACCGCAAATTCCCTATGAAAAATTGTGCAATACATCACTGTCTCTAGCTTTATGTCATGCTGGTATTGTACAATATTACTATGCTGTATTAATATATACTATACTAGTTGCTCTGCCATACCATACTCTACTGTATACTTTCCCATGCTATGCTGTACTATATACTACATACCATACCATGCTATACGATACTATCCTATGCTCTGCTATACCATATGCTATACTAGTAAAACCCCTACACCAAGCCGCGATCAGGCCGTGGTTTGCTGCTGTTGAACTCCAGCTGCGACAGAAGTCCAGCAATGCACAGTGACTGCACGAATTCGTGGGATGAGATGTCGCAGCCTTAGCAGGGTTCAGGAGTGAGTCAAAACCCTAAACCCTATAAACCCTAAACCCTAAACCCTAAACCCGGATTGAAGGCCTAGAGCTGCTTGGAGTTCGGGTTTGGGGTTAGCGTTGTAGGCAGGGTTTGGGGGCTAAGCGTTTAGTGTCCAGGGCATGGGGTTAAGGGTTACGGTGGAGGGTTGAGGCCGCCGCACAAAAAATGTGATCCCTCCCTGGCCTCCTAGCACTCAAATGACCTTGGGGTTTAGGGTTTAGGGTCCTAAACCCCAAACCGCATCGGGGTTAGGGATTTGGCGTCTGGGGTCTTGGATTTCATGTTAGCGACCCCATCGTTTCAATCCTCTGGGAGACTTCAATCGCTCCAGCACAGACGGGAAAATACTCCTGTCAGCATCTGCGGTTTAGGTCTTAGGGTTTTTAGGATTTTCTGGTTTAGGGTTTGGTAAACCCTAAACCCTAAACCCTAATTTAGAATGGTTTAGGCATGATCGAATTTGGCTTCTCACGATGGGAGCCTCAAACTTTCACGATGAGGACATGCGGGCTTTCTGGCATTTTGGGATGTAGGGCCCTTGAGTCTGAGTATCACCAGACTCTACGATGCAAGTGGAGGCGACAAGGAGACTTGCGAAGACCAGAACCAAGGTCACCGTCATGAAGCAGACAAGAGCAGCAACAACAACAGCAACATGAAGAAAGATAGAAGGCCTAGCAAGACTAGCAACAAGAGAAATGGCAGTCGCAATACAAACAAACAAGATAGAACGCATGTCAAGACCTGTACAAGTATCGAACATCAGGCTTGACACTTCTACTGCTACTGCACCATCACCACAAATACGTCATATTCCAAGTTTATCGCAGTCGTCGTCGTGGCAAGCGCGCTCGCAGTTATTTCCCTAGGCATCGTCGTCGTCGCCAACATCCTCTTCCTCATCCTACTACTGACTACTCAGACTACTCCCCTGCTCCTCCTCCCCCTACTACCACCACCACTGCCTCACAACTACTACCACTACCATTGCCAGGAGTCCTTGGGGCAGTTGCTGCTGTTTTGCGCTGCAGTGTACCGGTTTTGCAGCTTTAAGACTATGGTCTGGGCAGTTGTTCCAATTCTGGGGCCTGGTTGGACTCCGGGGCTTGAGGCTTGAGGTGTGTTGCAGCTGAGGGTTCAGAATTTTGCATCACATTGCTGAAACGTCGGCTGCAAAAAGGTGGAGTGAAGGAATGCGGCCCAGGATGCAGAAGGCCCTGGAAACAATGGCCAGACATAAACGGGAAGCAGAATCCCACAACCACTTGCAGCTGCAAGTAATAAGTGTAGCGTACTTCGATGCCTTAATATCTGAATAGTGCAATATTAAGCTATAGGTATAATAAAAAAAACCCTCCAAAATAGTAACTATTGGTAATTTTGGGCCCCTGTGCTACCTGCGGTTGAGGTGCATGGGTTTCGAAGCTGCCGGTCGTTTGCCTCCTCGTAGACGACCACGTGTCGGAATGGACCTCAGCTGATCCGAAGACCTTTAATGTAGGGGCCTTCATAATTTTGGTGGTATAAGTACCAGAGAGACCTAATAGACTTAGATTGAGGGGAACCCTAAGAAAGAGTATTGATTGGTTGTTACCTAAAGACTTAGGCAGGCTTCTAAATTGCGGCTTGAGGATCGAGGGTCTAGTAAGCGCACGACCATTTGCCGTGCCTTGCTAAACCCCTCACAAGACAACCGCGACCCGCATTCGCAAGGCTATCGATGGATCCATGCGCGTGACGACGACGATGAGAAAACTCAGCATCATGAAAAAGGCGGTGGTATTGATGGCGGTGGTTCGTAATTCAGCAGTCGCACGTGCAGGTAGTAGCAGCAGCAGTAGTAGTAGTAGTAGTAGTAGTTGTTGTTGTCGTTGTCGTAGTCGTAGTGCAGCAGCAGCAGCAGGAGGAGGAGCAGTAGTAGTAGGAGCAGGCCGGGGAGGAGCAAGGTGCAGGAGGAGCAGCTGCAGAAGCAGCAGTCGTCGAGTCGTCAATGTGGTGGCACAAATAGGAATAGACAGCCCCAATTTCGCTGCGCCACTGGTGCAGGCCCGTCCGATAACTTTGGACAACTTCTCGTCCAGGGAAACTTTCGCAACGGGCGCTTGGCTTCGTCCATCGGAATTTTTGCCTCGGCGGCTGGGGTCAGGACTTCCTTTTCTCAAACTTTTCGTGATGAAGCTGAATCTGTCAGATGGCAATGCTTTGAAACAAGGTTTTGATTTGGGGCTCCATTCTTGGGTGCCGTTGGGATGTTAAGCCTCCAACCACGCACGCAAACCTAACAGGGCAGAAGGAGTTCCTGACGTTTTCCTGGGTCTGGGATGCTCGGGGGGGATTCGATCCCAAACATGACACCATAAGTCCGTCCGAATAAATAATATTCTCCGTGTACCGAATGCTACACATCAGGACCTCCTGGGGGTATAGAGCAACAACCTTCTTTCAGGCAAGTTCAAGTGGATAAGATCGCTGCAATGTCTGACCCTTGTTACGGCGATGACTAGTTTTATGCGTATGGTGATGATGTTCATGAAAGGCGTTGGTGAGGACAGCTGTCACAGTTCTTACCGGCAATCGCAACAAGACTGAGATACTAGCTCTGCTGACCTTCATTCGTGTACTCACCACACTTATTACACCCCCTAAAGCTCTGACTGAGGCCTAGATTAAATCAGCATTCAAGCTGCGGCCGAACGCCAGGAAGTCGACGCATGATTGCAGAAAGATGTTCGAAGTCACATCCTCGCTCTCCCACCACCACTGCTCGGACTCATCCTTGTACCCAAAAACAGCCCACAGCGCCTTGGATAGTTCAGGGTTTTGGTGCTTTGCTTGGTGTTAACGCGGGCTTTACTTAGGGGGTCTAGTTGAGGGTTTGGGCCTAGTAGAAGAACAACATGGACGACGACAACGCAGAATGAAACGTTCTTGTGCAAGGACAGGGGATGCTTACGGCCCAGCGGAGGAGACTAGCAGGAACCGTGCCACATCAGGCCTTCTGTATGAGAGGGAACAGAAACATCAAACAGACTGGTCAAGTGCAAGGCTGCTGCTTTAATTCTGGGCGGAGGCCCGTTGCTGTCACAAGACAGATTGCAGCACATGGAGGACTCTCGAGTCTAATCTCGCAGGACATTGTGACCTCAACCCCGCGAACATGAACACTGCTCATCTACTTCTTGGTCGCCAGGGCACGGCCAGGTCGAATTGCGCCAGAATGCGGATTCGCCCCGGTGTCCTGTGATGGCGCATGGGGCTCAGGGAACAGAGTCGACGGGTCCAACCCCAAATCAAAACCCCTTACTGCTCAAATCTGGAGGGACAAAGCCCACCTTCTGCGTGTTTTGTCTGAAATCAAAGCCTGGCAGTCCTGCCAATCTCGATAGCGACAACCATCTCCAGCATCGTTTCCGTCACGGTCATCAGGATCATGGGTATCGTCATCATCTTCATCATCATTATCATAAACTTTGAAAGCCTCAACCCGAATTCTCGAAGCGAAAATACTGTAAGCCGAGGCCCCCTACAAGTCTTCACCTGTCCAGCTGCCTACACAAAGGCTAGTAACTAACCGTTTGGAGTGGAAAGGGACTCCAGCAGCCCCCTAAAGGCTCAAGGCCACTTGCTCTAATATGAAAAACCCTACCTGGACGACAGACCACCTACCTTTTCAGGACTCCTTCGGATAATTTGCTTATCGCGAACTACAATGGAGACTGTAGGTAAACCCCGACGATGTCCTGTAGCTTGGCGTGGGTGCCTCTGGCTGGGCCAAAACGGGCACCGCTCGGCTGGATGAGTCCAGCAGCCTCGGGTTTCGATAACCGCTTGTATAGGAGTTTAGGGTTTAGGGTTTAAGGTCTAGGCTTTAAAGCGTTGCATAAACTTCTTATGAAGGTGGTATAAAGGTATCTTGAGGGCTTTCAAGCCCTTCCGAGTCTTAAACGGCGAACACGGGTTCTGCACAGTCATCATGGCTGTGTAAGGGCCTGAGGGTTTAGGACAGTTTTGGGTGGAGGGTTCAGCTTGGGGCTCGCAGTAGCGATAGCGGTTTGAGCAAGTTGCAAGTTCCAGGTTGACAGGGTTCAAGCGCTTCGAGTTTGGCTTTCTTGTTTGTGTTTTGTGGATATTGAGACTCGATCATGGGTTTGGGTGGCTGGCAGTTGAGTTTCGGGACAAGGTGCTTTGGGGGTGTGGCTTCGATTTCAAGGTTCAGGCAGGCACCAAACATCCAAAAAGCTACACCCTAAAATTCTAAACGCTGAACCCTAAACCTATACCCTCTCTCATATGCCCTAAACTATAACCCCCTCCCCTAAACAGCCCTAAACCCAACAGTGCCAGGGACTTCTGCCGTTTTTGGTGGCCGTGGCTCTTTTGCATCACTGCCAGCGCCGGTGTGTCCTCGTTCGTGTCGAGCTCGAAAGCGCTCAGCTCTTTGGAGAGAACGCTCCTCGAAGGAGAGTTGGGGTTAGACTTTAAGGCTTAGAGTTTGGGGTTAACCGTTTGGGGTTTAGGGTTTAGGGTTTGGGGTTTAGGGTAGAGGGTTTTGAAATTAAAGTTGAAGGTTTAGGGTTTAGAGGGTAAGGGCTCTGTCTCTGCCTTGAGCTTCATGTGCTCCTGTAGCTGGGAGGGGGGGGAAACACATCTTACTCGACAATGTAATTGCATGCAGCTACCATATACGTAGAGATATAGATATATAGGTATATAAAAAGACTGCGCATAATTACTTGCCATGAACCTCTAAGTATGAAAACAAAGGCACTCGCGGATTGTAACTTTTTATAGCCTTATAGGAACCCGTGTAGTACATCCTATAAGGGTCATTATACGGGCCTTCATGATGAGAATAGGGTTTTTCGGGTCTTTTAAAGTATAATTTACAATATATTTATAACAAGGAACCCCCAAAATAATATAGGTAATTATGTTTAAACCCTAAACCCCGAGTCAGCACCCTAACTCTTTAGAGTCTACACTTTAGGCTTCAGAATTTGAGGGTTTAAGGTTGATGGTTTTGGTGTCATTCTCACTAGCCAAAGAGATCCGAAATTGTCTACACACAATCTCTACAAGTAGCAGCTAGTAACACTTCGAAAGCGAAAACGACCGGACTTGCAAATTGTATAAATATAATCGAGGCCTTAATCATTAGAACAAGGCTTTGGGGCGTAACTTGTAACGGGATAGTGCTACTAATTATTCAGGCGCTTACACTGCTTCTCTTCCAAGCTTTCTGCGATCAACATCACTATTCTATGGCCATGCTGATCAAGGCTTGTTGGGATGCCCTTCTTAGCAGCAACCCGATCACAGTTCGCATTCCAATGATTTGCTTTCCTACCATCATGCCCAGGTCTTTGCTATTGGGTCCCCAACCACTACATAATCAAACCCTAAACCCAGAACCATAAACCCTGTAATGCCTATTGTTTCGCTATCGGGTCCTTAGAGTCATGCTCTCGAGCATTTCCTTGGAGGATTTGGTGACGCAGCCCCCGCAGAGCTCCAAGATATCGTTGGCCGTCACGACCTTACAAGGGTTTAGGGTTTAGGGTTTAAGGGTTTAAGGGTTTAGAGCCTCAAGATTTAGTGGATTTAGGACGTGTCTGAAGTACTACATTTAGGGGACTCCGGTTGGGGTTTTTGGTCTCTCACCAGAGAGAGAGAAGAGCGCGGACTCGGTAGCCTCTCACGGGGATCGCAGAGACACAGACCAGAACGGCGCGGCCAAGTGCAAAGACATGTTGGCGCGTGTGCCAGGGCCAGGGCCAGGGAAGCGGAGGTCAGTCAACCGGCATCAAGCGTGAGCCCTTGAGGAGGCATCGCCGGGGGCATTCGGCCGTTGGCTGTCAAGGAGTTCACGGATCTCACCTGTTGGGTCGTCCATTTGACTTGATCTGAGCTGTAAGACTATGCGTACGTCTGCGAAGGCCAACCAAACCTTGAGTGTTGAGGAAACCTGCAGGGTTTGGAGTTCGGTGTGAGGAATATCCTGTGTCGTATCATATGTAGGGACCAATCAAAGCACAGTACCAAAACACATGTTCAGGAAGTGCTCCATCGCAGGGTAAAGGGTCTGACACTGGCAGCAACAATAAATAACAGTGGCGGAAGAAGGCAGGAAATTGAAATAGAAACTGTGTCATCAATATTATCATCCTCTTCCTCCTCATCATCACCCATCATCAACCAAAGAGTAGTTCAACACACCTAACAGTGGATAACGAAGCAACGAAGATGTGCTGAATGCAGAGGAGCGTCAGCTCTAAGCTGTCCGGCAGCAAAGCACGGCACACGGCGCTGCCTCTTGGCTTCTTCGTGGGTGAACGGGGGTCGGGCCGGGGCTCCAGAGTTTAGGGTTGGTTCCCTGTTGGTGTTTTTTTACACCTTGGGGGGGGGGGGGGGGGAAAATCCCAGAAAGAAATCCCTACCTAGCCCTTGCCAAGTCCCCACTTTGCAACTTCTCTCCGCCTCTCC